ACAGAGGCGTTGTTTCCATTCTTGTATTTGTCGTGTGCCATCACTATAAGGGACTAGAGTATACTAAAATTGACACATTATATAGGCTACGCTAACGTGACGTTTGAGCGGTTCATGTAACTATTATACGTGATGTACGTTTTTTGGGGGTGGTTAATGAAAGTGTTCCAAAACGCGACATTAATTTCTTGACGACCTAATACATTGTTTCCCAAAGTGCATCGTTCAACAAATAACCTGCGCAGTACTTATTAGTATATCACATAATATTTAATACACAGTGATCATTATTTAATAAACAGTATCCCAAATGAAAAATGGCGTAATTTGTAAATGGATTTTAGGAATGGTATTTTTGTAACATTTGTTTGTAGTTAAGTACCACGGGTATAAAAACCTACTTTCAAACGTCATAAGTCCACAGGCTCACCGCTGTGCCACTGCTGCTACACAAGCTAATTTTTTAAACTATTCTGTTTCTGAGAATAGCAACTCAAAATAGTATTTCATAGAAAAATCTTTCTGGGAAAAACAACGAATTATCTATATTTATCTAACTATTGTCAATTTTTTCATCAGATAAGGCTATCTTCATTATCTTTACTTTGGCAGTGTATATTTAGGAAAATATGAGATTATTCGGTGTTTCGAAAATATGCAATAATTAAAGATAGTGGAGTAGAAATATTAAAATTAAGCGATGACAAACAGTAACTTTGTAATAAATCTAAGTTTCAAATGGACAGTAACTGCCTGTTGTAGAAACTTACAAATGTAGAGGACGAGGTTTCGAAAGTCTTCCGCTTTTCGTCTTCACCTGAAGAAGGTTTCTACAACAGGCAGTTGCTGTCCACTTGAAACTTAGATTCATTATGAATACTCTGCCTAAACAACCTATCAAATATTAACTTTGTAATAGCTATTTCATTGACGTTCCAATAGTCTTATCACTAAAAACAAATTTTAATTGTTACTTAAAAATTGGTACTAACATATACGGGGGCATTCCAAACAGTAGTACCTAAATTCATGTTTTAGAATCTTTTAACTTGAAGTTCCCGTATAGGATCCAAGGAACTTCCAAAGATCTCAGAACTTGATTCGTGAACTTAAATAAAAGTGTAAGGAACCGCATCTATGTTTAGATTTTAGGATTTTTCGATTGGTCAAAGGGTTATTGGATTTACTAGAACATTATATAAAAGGGCTATCTATGCTTTGCCCACCACGGGTATCGAAACCCGGGTTATAGCAGTATATCTTGTGCCAAATATTCAGCAGGATGCTTTTTATTCCCGAAATCTTTCCTGGTTTTTAATAAAATAACTAGCGGTAAGATTCTCAAACATATTCAGATTTAAACATTTTATACGAGATATAAACATATTTTTTCGTAACGTGGACTACAACATAACTAATTTTAACCTAAGATTTTGCACTGAATAAGTAAAAGTCAGCTGAAAAATTTACAGTGAATATTCTAAAATTAGTGTTAGATTAAAAAAGTTATGTTGTTAGTATCAGTGATATGTTATAAACGTAATTAACCATTCAGAAGTCTTAAAACAGTGTTTTGGAAAATAGATATCACCAAACGTGCTCGTGACTACTAGATAGTTAAAACTAACCAAACATATCGTTAATCTAAACTGATGAATCAAAGCATTCTAACATTTATGAAATTTTGTTTTGTGACTTTATATATTCCGTGTTTCTATTTAGACCAGTATATTAACTATTGGCTTACTGTTTAGTCCTGACGTATGTAGGCAGCTTGCTTTGATCAAATTAAGTTAATGATAACAAATATGAAGAAATTGAAATCATACGTTTATAAGAATGAATGTCGGAAACAATAAAACTAAAATGGCTTAGTTATAATAATAAACATTAGAATATGGTGGAATTATAATCATATAGTTGTAAGAATTAATATTAGAATATGATAGAATTACAATCGTGTAATTATAAGTATAGATGTCAGAATATGATGTAACTAAGGTCATGTAAGTAGTTATCTCCCCACTTCAGCGACCAAATGATTTCGACTTATGCTGATGGCTGCCTCAGAGAGGTGGGGGGATGATGTCATCAAAGACGATGACGTCACAATTCTACAAGTTGTCGCCAGAGGGCGCCTTGTCAAGGGTGCATTTATAGTACGCCATGACAGGCGATCATAAACTCTCACCAGAGGACGCAGCTATCTTAGAGGGAATTAAAATTACACTTCAGTACCTGACAGAGGGCCATGAAGTTATACTTCCACGAAGGGGGACTAGCATAACAAGTCTCAACATGACTATATTTGATACAGTCAGTATAAAACACTAATTTATTAATAAATTAAATTTCCTAACCATTTATATTAAAGTTATCATAAATGGATGATATTGTTTGTTTGTTTGTTATGTATTTCGCGCAAAGCTACACGAGGGCTATCTGTGCTTAGCCATCCCTCATTTAGCAGTGTAAGACTAGTTGGAAGGCTGCTAGTCATCACCACCCACCGCCAACTCTTGGGCTACTCAATGGATGATATCATGAAGTAATTAAAACATTAATTCAGATAGTTAGTTGATTCAAGGTCTGTGGAAAAGATCTCAACTCATTAGATAACGTACCACACTTTGTACAAGTAAGACCCCCGGATCCAATGCTGGTCTTTACCAACAAAGAAATAATCTTCTCCTAACAACAGAATAACAGCAGTGGAGACGTACAATAAAACCCTGTATAGGCTTGAAAAATATTTACTAAATAATAAATAGATTTAAGTGATGGTATAGGCTACTAACCATGATATTAGATTTCCACAACATACGGTAAGTAAGTACTTAGAAAATAGTTATTTCCTTCATTTTCTGTGACCAGATCTTTACACTGTAATTTCTACCAGACAGTAACATAAAGCTGTTCAGTACAGTGTAATATGTTGACCCTATTAACACTGAAACGTAATAAAAAACTTTAGTAATTTGAAGGTTGTAAGATGTTTAATTTTTTTCAAAACAAGTGATTCATAAAAATTAATTGGCAAAACAAAACATGGTAACATCTCACCAGGAACCGTTACTACCAAAAAAATTAAAATCTTTGTTAATTAAAAACTTTTATGATTTGTATATAATTGAGAACGAGGATAAACATTAACTTATAATTCCTAATGAAACACAAATTAGTATTATTGAACTTAGAGAACAGTTGAAGCCAAGAGATTGAAGTAAAAGTTAGTTTTATTATTTTATTATTACTTACTGGAAAGTAATTCTCATTACCTCTTTTTCACACAAACATCTAAAAGCAGAAAAAAAAGAAACATGTTTATTGTGGTTAGTTTTTGCTAATTGTTCTGTTCCTGCAGCACTTTATAAGCGACCATTTCTGTAGGTATTGCTTGAGTGCGTCCTTTCACGTCAACACTAGAACCAGAACGTTGTATCCGACACCGCCTGGAGAAAATAATCGATTATTTCATTCAGTCATTATACTTCCTTCAGTACATCAAAAGTTAATCCATTATCTTCAAGTTTAGCGGAACTCGTTATGCCTACAGAATCGTATATGGCTTTCTGAATACTTGCATTATGGGTTCAGATAGAAATTAACAAAATAAAGTTCACTAACAATAATTAATAATAATTAATTTTGAATCCAATATTTTATTGAAGTGTCTGACAGGCTGCACTGCTGATAATGTTTTTTTTTTCACTAAAATCATTTCAATGATAGCTTGAATTCAATCTTTCTGTATATAAAAAAACTACAACGTTATATTTAAAAATAAACTAAATATTAATAAAAATTAAACATGATTTAAAAGTAATATATATAATTTCAAACTGTTGTTATGAAAGTGATTTTCAACTATGATTTGTATTGACAATATGTAATCAGATAAACTGAGTTACTTAATATTGTTACGTCTCCGTTTTTTAATTGATTTTCCGTAACTTCGTACCGACGAAACTTAAGCGACACAAGCCTTT